ATCTTTTTTTTTTTTTTTCTGTTTCTTCGTGTTTATTTTTAAAAGTGTTTTTATGACTTTGTTAAGTAGGAATATCAAGAGTATTTCGTGCACGAGTCGAATGCCGGAAGAAATGAGGTGCTCTTATTGAGTACTTTTTTAAGACTTGTGCTTCAGAGTTTTTTTTCTTTTAGAATGATGTGTGTGAATTACTATGTATGCTATGTATCGTAATTTTTGGAGACTCAAAGTTTTTTCTTTTAGTTTGCTTTAATTATAAATTGTACAAGATTTTAAAAGTTAAAAAAAAAAAAAAAAATGAAATTTGTTTTGTAAGGAAAATGTGAATATACTTTTTATATAAATTTTATTGTATAACGTAGGAGATTCCATACAAAAAAAATAAAAATGTCGATTACAAAATGAATTTTTATTACAATACTTTTGTCAATGATTGAGAAAAAGATTTTTAGTGGAATCCGAACAGTTTCTATCCTAATATAAAGTGCAAATTCACATCTAAACTTTTTTTTTTTTTTGTTTTTTTGGCTAATATCCAGGTATGCATTCATCGATTTCTCTGTAAAAGAAGTGCAGTAACAGTATTTTATTTATGTGCACGATTTTTTATTCATTACAGTAGATTTTTGAAGTGAATGATTTTAATACATTATGTTTTAAAAATAAACTATTCTACAATCAATAAAAGCCGTTCAAGGAGCACAACACGCGCGCGCACGCTCGTAGTATACGAGTGTGTATTTCATTGTAGCACACAGCATTGCGACGTCCAANTTTTTTAAGACTTGTGCTTCAGAGTTTTTTTTCTGTTAAAATTAAAAAAATTGGCGAGAGTGTTTACTTGTTTTCTAAAAAAAAAATCATGTGGATTTTATATTGAGTCATAACAGTTATGAATTTCCCATAAATATTCTATAAAAATTCCTCGTCATTTCCAAGGAATATTCCACAGGGTCATTCTACGAGCAATTTATCAAACCTTTGAAATGACGAGCAACGCTGCTGACATCTCATTTTTCAAGATAGTGCTCTTATAACATCAATATTAGAGCACCCACCCTCCAACAATGACTTCAAAGATCGCCACTTTTTTTTACCGATTTTTTGAGGTACACATGCACGTACAGCGTATCAAGAACATTAGTAAAGTGTTGTTCGTCACGATCGCGTGAACCCATTACATAAAAGAGACACGTGAGCGGATGCACGTAGAGAAATATATTGACGTCCCTTCTCTAATTTTAAACCAATTTTCTGCATTAAGAAAGCGTATCGTCATTGCCGTTGCCATTTTCGATCGACGTACACTCCTATCAGAAAAAAAGTGAGAAAAAACAAAAGCCCCGCCCCCTAGACATTCATGCACCCATTCATTGGAGCCTTTCCCTTTTACTACTGTTCTCTCGCTGGATCCAATACCGAAAACCAATTCCCTATAATAGATCGGTATAATGAGCCCTCGAAAGAAACTAGAACGGAAAATCAGTCGTGTATAACGGCGATTCCGGGACTGGCACCCAGTATCAACTGGACTCCATAATACAAAAACAAAAGAGTGCGGAAAACGAGGGAGGCTGGCACACGTGTTAAAAGTTGTAAAAGTGGGGGGTGTCACCGGGAAAGTGCATTGTCGACAGAAAGGGTGACAGGGGGTGCTCTGGTGATCTCAGGGTCACGACGGTTATTTTCAGGCTAAAATCAATAAAAGCCGTTCAAGGAGCACAACACGCGCGCGCACGCTCGTAGTATACGAGTGTGTATTTCATTGTAGCACACAGCATTGCGACGTCCAAGGGGTTAGTCAGTCGACCTCGTGCTGAGCAGGGTGCATGAGGTGTTTTACTATTTGTGTTGTCTTTTTTTTGCAATTTATTTTTTGGGGTGTGTGGGTGTATAAATATTTTATGTAAATAGGATTAGAAGACAGTAATTTTTTGTAAGTTTTTAAGCTTTGTCTTTTAAGATTTTTTCAAGTAGAAAATAGGGGAATGACAAACAGAGAGATTTTTTTATCATTGTTATTTTTATTTTTCGTAAAACTTGTGTAAAAAGTGTTTATGTACTAGATTGATATTTTTTAGCTTGTACAAGTAAAGGTGCATATTCTGTTTTTTTTATATTAAATCGAGGACGATGAGGTTGAGCATTTTTTGTATCTTACCTCATATTTTTTTATTGTAAATACAATTTTTTTTATGCTACGTATGATACAAAGCTTTTGACAAATTTTTCAATCAATTAATTTTTCCCGTGAGTTATAAACTTTTCGTAAAATCCTCTAAAATAAAACTTTGTGCTGACAAATATAGATAAGTCTTGTTATGATTTAATGGAGACAAAAACTGTCTAGAGATAAAACTTTGATCCTTTATGAATAAAAAAATATTCAGACAATAATTGAAAAAGATTATCTGTGTAGAAACTTTAGTTTAAATTTTTATTGTGTTAAAATGCATATTTCGTAAACTTAGTATTTTCTTCTAAGAAAACATTCTTTCCAATAGGCGAGTCATAAAAATGTGCAAATAAATAATTTTTTTTTATTATTAAACATGAGGTCCAAATTTTTTTACATTATCAATAGGATTATACCAATGAATTTTTATGACTTCAGTATTATTGAGTGCAAAAAATGAAAAAATTGATTAATCGAATGTATACATTTTCCTTATTGCATGTGTGACCAATGACTGTAAAAATTTCCTATTAAACCTTTACATGAAAATTCTGACTATAAAAAAAAAAAAAAAAAAG